GAAGATGGATTAGTTGATGTCTCAGGTATTTTTATTTGGTTTCTAAAGGAAACGAAGTTTATGTAATGATACTATTTCTCTGTCAGTCCTGGACTATGCTCTGGGACATGCCTTATTTCAACCAAAGAAAGATGTCTCAAGACTAATGATGTTCCTAACACATGGTTGTTCTTTGTTAGGGTTTGTTATGTGTTTGTTTGTTTGTGGGGTTTTGTTGTGTTTGTTTGTGGTTTTGGATTTTTTTATTTGTTGCTGATTTTTGTTTATTTTGAATCAGAGATCATGAAAAGAAGAAAGAATTTGAGGTTAAAATTTTATGCAAGAGACACAGATGAGTTTGGTTAATAGTTGAATTCAGAAAGGGAGGACTAAAACAGGGGAATTTTCAGTATTAGATGATGTTTCCATGTTATTTCTGAGGTAGGTGTCTGATATGTTCATAACCTGAAATCTGAAGCACCTCCAACTCCAGAATTTCCCTTTAACTTTAGATTTGACCTTCCCATTTCATACTTGTGATTGCAATTCTTGTCCAAAAATTGAAGATAAAGATATAAAGGTTTCCTATTGTGCAGCATAGGATTTGACAAAGCAACAATGCACAAATTATTTATAAATCTCCATGTACCAGTCTAGCTTTTTTCTTACATTTTTCCTACTGCACAGTTTTACTACTCTGACCTTGTGCTTGACACTGTAGGACATTGCACTATAGGGAAAAAAAATCTTTTTATTTCTTTTTTTTCCTCTCTGGTCCTTCCCTATTGCAAATCCATCTTTCAATGATTGGCAGCTTCTTCCAGGATGTAGTAGCAGATAGGCTTGGAGACATGGCCAGCATATCAACACAGGGGAAACAGCCTGCTGCAATGGGTTTTTCCTTTGTAGGCTGATAGAATTAGGGGGGGGGCAAGGAAGGAGCTGATGTTTTGGTAATTCTAAAAATTGCTTGAAAGATGATTACTTTAATCTGGAACAGGCCAGTGTTATTGAGAGGTTAAAAAGATCTGCCCATTTGAGTGTTTTTGTCAAGTCCTAGATGAGAAAGCAAGTTCAGCTGAACTGGGTAAGCAGGTGACAGTTCTCTTCCCACCCGGCTGCCAGGCCCAGCACTGCTGCTGGAGCTGGTGTCAGTCTCAGCCGTCTAACTGGACAGCAGCTGAAGCCTTCAAGGCAAAACAGCTGCCTGCTGTTTTGGTCAGGTGTGGTACATTCTAAAAAGTGGGTCAGTGCTTGTGTGCAGCCCAGCTCTGCATTAGAAATTAGTACTTTGTAAGGAGGCTTTGAATCTGTTACAGGTACACACATGCAAGGATTGCTATGCAGCCAAATTAAAAGTTTTGCAATAGGAGTTTTTATAACTTTAGGTATATGCCATTTGCTGATAAAATGTCTAAGGTTCTTGTAGATGTGTTGACGTGCTAGAACCCCTTCATTAAAAAAGAATGTGTTTAGAAAGCTGGAGCACAGGGAGGAGGTCCATTAAAACTTATCTAGATAAGATTTTTGGAAGAAATAGAAGCTACCTTTTTAAAAAAGTATATCTGTTGAAGCCCTAACTACACGTTTCCACTTATATTCTATTTTTCTTTGTATTGGCCTGAGTTAACTCTGCCCCCTACAGCATTCATCCTGCTTGTATAGAAAATGGAAAATTTTGTAGATTGCTTTAAAGGAGTTCCTCTGAGTCTTGATAAGATGGGCAGTGAATTGAAGAAAATTGTAGCCTGAACCATGGTAAGTTAAAATTATATCATGATATACATGACTTGCATCTATTGCTAATTATGTAAGTGTGATGTTTGTAATTTCAGTTATCCTTGCTGCTCTAGTCTTCTGGGTATGGAAGCAAAGGGCCTTGACAGGAGCAGGTGTTTGGGTAATTCTGAAAATTGCATGGAAGAGAAAGACAGCAGTTTAATCCAGCTCATACAGCCAATTGGAATTGCTTATCTACTGCAGAACTGATTGAATTTTAATGAGTTGAATTAGCTTTGAATTAAGTTGGTTGATATGCTTGTGTTGTTTGAACAAAACTAGGGGGAGTTTGCATAGATCTAACCTGGAAATAAACTGGAACACAAAATCTGGAAAACAGCTCTTTACTCTTTTCAAATTAGACTAATAACATGTATTCACTAGGCATTAACATTGCATTCTTAGCTTATTACTTTGCCTGAGTAAAATTTTTATGAAAACACAAAAATTTATAGTCATTAGATTACGTTTTCCCACTAGAAATCTTTTCTGCTTGGGGTCAGCAAGTGAGAAAGGCTTAGCAGGCGTAGCTTGTTCACATGATTTTAACAGACTTTTTGCAGGCTTCTTTTTTTGCCTTTTCTCTCTCATTCCTAGTGAGAGTAGGACTGGGATAATAATAACGTTGGCAGTAGTAGTAGTAGGAAGCAGCACACCTACATGTCAACGAGGGGGTTTGGAAAGAGGCGCAAACTCTCTCTTTATAGCCTGGAGATTAAAAGCAACTTTAGGACTCCATTATCTGGCTGTCCTGGATAGGCAGAAAGAAGTTCCTCTGGCAGTTAAGAAGGTCTGCTGGTAGTGTAGCTAGGGAAGGTAGGATGAATTAGCCCTACCAAATAGCTAACATATGTTTTAAACAAATCTTAATCCAGAACGTATGGGGGAATGAGACAATGTCTTGCACTCAAGTACAGTGGCATATTGATTCTGTTACAGTATTAAGGGATGGGGAGCAAAGCAGGTGGCAACTGCAGAGTGACACTAGCAACTTCTCTTTATGAATATTTGCAAGCAGCAAAACCAAGACAGATCAGAAGGATAAATCAAAGGTTGAAGTGCTTCATGTACTGCTAGAGAAACAATGTGAAAATTCTTATGCAAAAGCAGCATAAAGCAGGCTCTCCTGATTCATAGCAGGTTTTCTAAGAATGCTATACATATATACTTGTATGTGTGTGTGTGTGTGTATGTACACCTTTTGGGATAGTATATATTTGACGAAACTCTTCAGTGGCTCTTGTTTTCCCTTCTTTTCCTTTCTTCTGACTGTTTGCATTTATTCCAGTCCTTTGGGCGTTGGTGCATCTTTGAGCATATAGAATTCCTAAATGGGCATTTGCAGCTAAAGTTCAGTTCAGCAAACTCTAATCAAATTATTCGTGCAAGCTTAAAACTGCTGCAGCGGGGATGTGCCATAGATTAAATCTCAGTGCCTTCCACTGTGTCTGCATGCAGCAGGATCACATAGATCTCAGGTTTTTTGAGGCTGTATGGACAATCCTGGAAATACCTACTTTTCTAACTGAAGAAACTAGAAAGTTATTAGAAAACTGCATGTCCTTTATACCGGTGAGTTAAAAGTATATAATATTGAAGGTTCTAATTGTTGGAATTTTGTTACACTCGTTTTTGTAATAGTATTTAGGCAAGAATTTTGAAATTATCTGTCTAGTTTTAGAGGAAGATGCTGTAATTTATGTTCCTATCAAACCTCTGCTACTGTTCTGTTTATTTTCCCAGTATTTCACAAATATACTAGTATTAGCTATTATAAATAATCCTCAGTTATGGGTTGTGAACGTGACTTTTGCCTTTATCTTTAGAATTTTGACAGGAAAAAAATTAATTATCTGTCTGGTTTCTGGCTGTTATTTTGCAGTAATACACCTTAAATCCAATCATAAGGATATTTTAAATTTGTCTTTTCACCAGATGGAAGTAGAGCTCACTGTAGATCAAGTGATTAGCCAAGGGCTCTTCTGTAATTTTTGCAGAAATTTGTCTGGTTGAACTTCTTTACCATTCAAAGGCTATTTTCAGTTAACTGCATTCAAGTGCAGACCATCCCTTTATCAGAATAGCGACATCAGTGTAGTTGTGTAGCAGGGAAAAAAAAAAAAATCTGCAGATGCTGATGTATCAATCAGACATACTCATAGAGACACCTATTTCCAAAGGACTGGAATACATGCAAACACTTGCCTGATGAGAGATATTGACCAGGAAACTGAAATGTTGTTCTGAGCTCCAGTAAATATTTCTTGATGCACAGCGTGAGAAAGTTTTCTTGTCTATGCCTAATATAGCTTTACAGAGTGTGTGGGCAATTAGCAAGGTGGCTTTTCGTAGAGTGAAAAAGGAAAGTCCTTTTTTCTGCTGAAACACGTTTGAGCTAAATAGCAACACACATCAACTTCCACTAAAAGAGGTGATAGCGGACTATAGAAACCACCCTAGAAGGTCTTTTTATGAAAGAAATCCTAGATGCCAGGGATCTACGAATGTGGGCATCCCAGCGACTCTGTCCATGGGGACGACAGGAGAGAGTCGGTTTCTGAGGGCTGGTGCTGGCTGAGCCGCTGCGGCGGCGGGGTCCTCCAGGCGGGACTCGGACCTGGACCGGAGCCCAGCCGGGGCTTTCGCCTCCCGGTCAGGGGAGGTGCGCTGCTGGCTGCCCCGGCGAAAGGACCGACAGCTCGGTCTGGTTACGCCTGAGAAAACCGGGAGCCCCTGCCCAGGGAGGGAGGGGACGCGGTGACAGCGAGCTGCTGCGGGAGAGCGGCGCGGCGGCCGCAGCCCCGCATCCCCCGGCGGCCGCGGCGGGGCCGGGCGGGCTGAGGGGCACAGCCCACCCCGGGATGGGCTGGGCAGGGCAGCGGCGGCGGTCCCGGGAGCCTCCGCCGTGGCGAGATCGGACAAAGGCTTGCAGGAGAGGGAGTGGCAAGCGGCCGCCCAGCCCTCGGCGGGCTGCGGGCGGGTCGGTGCCAGCGGGACGAGGGGAGAGCGGACGAGACAAGTTCCCCAGAGGCCCGGGGATCCCAGGAGGGCGGCGGCAGCTCCTGTGGAAAGGAACGGGCTCTCCGTGCCGCTGGCCGCTCCCCCGGAGCTGGCTGCGGGGAGGGGAGGCGGGGGAGGAGCCGGGCTGATCCCCGGGCGGCGGCGGCCCCTCCACTGCGCCAACCTGCAGGCGGGCTGGAGGCGGCGGCCCCGCCCGGCCCGGCTGCCGGGGCCGCGCCGCCCCTCGCCGCCGTCCCGGGCAGAGCCGCAGGCGGCTGCTTCCCCTTGCCTCGGTCCTAGACTGCAGCTTCCTGGCGGCCAGGGCAACAAGCAGCTGCATCTTGGAGCGTCTTCTTTCCCGAGTGCCCCTTCATCTCTCCCAGCCCCCTCCTCTCTCATACCTGCAGCCTTTCTTTCTCCCTTCACTCTTACCTTATTTCTGCTTGTCTTCCCCTTCTCTTTACCATTTTCTGGTTTCAAGGTTTTGGGGTTTTTTTCCTTCTCTTTCTTCTCCCCCCATCCTATTCCCTTTTGGACCATCTTCGTTTAGTACCTCTTAATTTCTTGATTATTTTGATTTTTTTTCCCTTGGACTTTGCCTTGTCATGTCAAGATGGAAGTCAGGCATGACTGGCTCTCCTCATCCCCCCATGAGGGCTTCGAGCAGATGAGGCTGAAGAGCAGACCCAGGGAGCCTTCCCCAAGCCTCACCAGAGTAGGTGCGAACTTCTACAGCACTGTCAAGCAGCAGGACTACAGTGCCAGTGTCTGGCTGAGGAGGAAAGACAAACTGGAGCACGTAAGCCAGCTTCTTTTTCCCTCCCCCCACTTTTTATTTATTTATGTTTAATTTCTAAACCTCTGTCTAGATACTCTATTAGGCTGTCTGCCATCTGGGACTCCAGAAGAAAAGTGTTGCTCCAGTAGTTGGGCTTGGTATTTCCCAAATGATAGAGAAAGGAGCTATTTAGAGGTCCCATAGTGGTCAGATCTTAGGTAAATGGGATGTCAGTACTGTTCCAGACTACATGCAAGTCTTCTTCTAACTGGAAATGTTTTTGCTGATTCCTTCTTCTCTTCCAGCAAATTCAGCACTGATGTGGGAGGAGAAAGATTGGGATGGTGCAGATGGAGGTTAGAACATTTATCTCATGGTGATTATAATGTAGTTCTAGAATAGCTAAAAGCAAATAGCTGGTGGTTGGTTTTTTTTGTTTGTTTGTTTTGTTTTTAATTTTAGATGCAATTTTCATTCTCCCTCTCCCCCATCTTTTTCTTCTCCATGCATGGGACTTTGAACATACTCTACCTATGTGGGGTAAAGATTTCCTTCAAGACATTTCTTGCTGCAGCAGTAGTACATGACTTAACTGGGTTTGAGGCCACAATAGGACTGATACTGTGAATAGCTCTAGTGAATATTTTATGAGAATTTAAGGTACTTCAAAATGTTCCTGTCTCAGATGATGTTTGAAAGCATTCTTCATGTTACTTGTAGCAGCAAGGAAATGGATTGAGATGACCTGCATGCTATGTAAGTTTCCTGAATAGCTTATCAGGTGAAACCCTTTGTTAGAGTGTACAGTACAATCAAGACAGGAAAGTAGCTGCATTTACAGGGATGCAAAAGAATGTGGATGGGCTTGCATAATGCAACAGTCTGCTATTCTTTACATTAGTGAGTAATTTGCAATCACAGTCACATTGACTTCAAGAGGCACAGGAAAATATTTCTTGTAGTACAGCCACCTCAAGTCTCTTTGAATGGAAATGGTCTGATAAGAAGGGTAAATTGTCTTTATTACCTGAAAATCCTAGATGGCATAGTAGAGCCCTTTGAAGATGAAACCTGAAATAAGGTCCTTTACCCAGTAGTTCATAGACTAATAACCCTCCCTTCCCCCTAACTTGCAGAGAGTATTTTATCCCTCTTAGTGAAATCTTGAGTTGTTTGTACTTCCGGGGAAATGACAAGAACTGATGATCTTTTGGAAAGGTCACATTCCAAATGTTGAGGAAGGTATTGAATTCTGTCTGCCTTTTAACACAATTTTTTGATTCTTCACACTGACAACAAGGCTTCACAGTAGTAAGCTTGTAAGTGGAGTATTCTCCCATTGTCAATCAAGAATAAAGGTCAGTGCCTTATCTCAGTACAACTAAAACATCGAAAGCACAGAAATCTGAGCTGTGTCTTTTGTAACAGATTTTGCTACATGTTGATATCTGTGATCAAATAAATAATTATTAATTACAGGGGGGATTAATCTGTCAGCAGTTTGATATCTGGTAGCTGAATGGTCAGATACCTGTATATTAAACCTTATCACAACATTAGCAGGAAGAAAGAAAATAGGCATTAACTTGTTTAAAGACTGAAAGTGCAAAACCTTTATTTTGTGTGTGGTTTTGTTGCTGTTT